CTATTTTTTTTTTTTTTTTTGAATTTTTTTTTTTTGCGGGGGGGTCTGGAGCCGGGGTTGGGGGTGCCCACCCCCGGAACCCCGGAACCCCGCCGGGGCCCCGGGGCCGGGGCTCGACAACCCTGCTTAGGGGGGGCATATTTGCAGCAGGGGCCCCTTAGGCCTGCCGAGGACCCAGATCCTCGCACATATATATTTCCATGTTCTAGCGGTAGATTCATTCGATTTTGCTCATCCTATTGATGGAAGTAGCGTGGGGCCAGCCGTGGGGTTGGAGACTTACCTGTTGGCCGCTGTGTTGTTCATCCTGTCGATGAAATCTCTCTCTCTCTCTCTCTCTCTCTCTCTCTCTCTCTCTCTCTCTCTCTCTCTCTCTCTCTGTGACACAGAAGGACCAGGCAGTTCAGAACTTTGCCCTAGTGAACTGAGAGGGATAAATCAGGCTGGCCAGGCTGGCTTTTGAAGATTCTTTTTTTCAAGGGGATAGAGGAATTAGGGGGTGGGTTTGGTTATCGGCATGACCTCACCTGACAGTCAATCCTTCCAGTGGAAGCAGTCAACGTTGTCAGGGTTCCCCAGGCTGTAACGTGGGGAAGCGTATAAGTGAGTACTTCATGCATTTGTCTGACTTGCCGGTGGAATAGGAACCGGACCGACGCTCCCCGGAATGGACATGGAGCCGGGCCCATAAGGACCTTTTTTTTTCTTTTTCTTTAATCATTTAAACTACACATATAACTTGATGGAAGAGTGTAAAGTAAAGCTGTTTGGATTTACCCATCTAGTTGGAAAAGGGGTTTTTCTAGTGACTGTCCATAAGACGCGCAAACAAACAAACAAATGAGCAGGCAAACAAACAGACAAATGAACAGGCAAACAAACAAACGATTGGGCACTTGCATGGAAAAACATACACAGATGTGAACAAAAATGAACAGGAGGATACCTCCCCCTTTACTCTGCCTCCTTGCAAGTGGGTCATTAAGTCACACGGGGATGTGGGCAGCTGGGGCTCAACCACAATCAATGTGGCAGCCTTGTACTTGAGAGGCACAGTAAAAAGGGAGCTGCAAGAACAAAACAGAAGGGGTACAAGTGGGCTTGCTCAGTTGGTTGAGCACGTACGTGGTATTCAGGAGGTCGTGGGTTCGATTCCCCACGTCGTCGATTCAATCCCCCACGGCCCCCTGCGACACGCTTCAGGTTCACCACTGGAGATAATTGGCTTGGGCCTCCTGGCTGGTCGTGGAAGTAGCTTCGGCTTCCCAGCTTGTGCCAGGTGTTAGGAGCCGGGGTACTGCTCCCCGCATAGAGCAGAATGTACAGAGCAGAGGCCAGTGTCAACCCATAACTTTCAGGGCCACCCGACCTGTGTGCATAGATAGGGTTCAAGGGAAAAGTGCAACTGCACTAGGAGTAGATAGGGGTAGGTAGCAATTGTGAGAAAACCACGTTATTGAGAGAAGGAAACAGGGTAGTAAAATGCAGCTTGTTCCCCAATGAGACTTCGTCCTCGCACAGTATGGGCAATTTGGAAGAAGCGCCGCAAACAAACAACTGCCAAGCAGCCCATGACACTGGCGGAAGCATGGGAAGGTCTCATACAAACCCTCCTCATCGAGTACCACTTAGATTGGCGCCACACCAGGAAACGTATATGAGACGACCCGACCAAACAACAGGACATCACTGTCAACTTCAAAAGAGACATGCTGGGCAATGGCAAGTTGGGGACCATAATGGGCAACACCCTCAGACTTGCCTGGGGCACCCTGGCGAATCAACAGCTTCACGATGACCGCGTTTCGACAGCCTCCCAAACACCCTCAGACGCTGAACAGACCCTCGGTACGGGTGAAATATCTACAAAAGCTTGGGACTCAGCGCGTGACGAACAACTAAGGATCATTCCTTCGGCCTCAGTTTGGATAAACTCGCTCTAGCCGAATACGCCGATCTGACAGCCTCCCAGCTGAGAGGAGCGGGCTTAGACCAGACCACAAAGGACCCATAGTGGTTAAAAAGGGCATTGGCACAGCAGGAGGGTCCCCACAGGAAAGGCAGAGTTCGAGCAGCAGGCAGGGACGTCAACCTCACAGCCTTACAGCTGAGAGGAGCGGGCTCAGACCTGTTTTGTAGCGTACTTAGGGTGGTTGAGAGCCTTACATGTTGTTTGAAGTTGTTTTCAGTCCCTGTGGTGGCGGTTTCAGTCCCTCTGGTTTCAATCCTGGGGACTTCGGCGGGTTACCGGGCAGCAGTCCCGGATTCAGTAGCGGCCTATTTGTTGATCAAAGGTTTGAAGCTCATTTATGCAGAGCTTGACTTTGATGGTTGGATGTTCAAATCTTTGAGTGCGTAGAATCTGCCGAGTACCGGGCGCCAGTCCCGGAGTCAGTGGTTCTGTTTTTTGTGGTTGGCGTCTTGACTTGAGTACGTTTCGAAAGAGGCGAGGAATGTTCTAGTTGTTATGTCACCTCGACAATTCCTATAGAACACAGGATATAAATAGGACATCTACTAAGTAGCTAGACACCTCCTCACCGACCAAGACCCCTGACGAGCGCCGGTGGCGACCGACCGGAACTAGTCGGGTCATACCGCCTGTACTGCATTGTTTTACTTTTCGAAAGTCTGTCTCTTCCCTATCTCTTGCCTTCAACCCTCTGACAGCAATATTGGAGTGATATTCACGATTGACGTTTGCTTGCGCTTTTGCTGAAGTCATTATGCTGGATGTACTATTCACACTTGTACTCACGGAGTAACCGTCGTAGAGGTTAGACTACGTCACGCGTGGCTTCGTACGTTCTCTGTGCCGTCCTCACCATGGCTTCGACTTCTAGCGTTCGCACATGCTACAATTGTGGAGATCCAAACCATTTCGCTCGATGGTGCCCGCATAAGATTAACCAGAATGGCGCGACGGCTGGACAAGTTCCTGTTCTCGCTCTGCCGGCCCTTCCCACCTCCGCTCCTCCCCCACCTCCTCCTCCTCCTCCTCCTCCTCCTCCTCCTCCTCCTCCCCCTCCCCCTCCTCCTCTTCCCCAGTCGTCTAGTGGAGTAGCACCTGATAGCAGTATTGGTCAATATCAAAAAGGTAGCGGGTGGTATAATCTGAATCAGCGTGTCGTAACTCTCGAGGATTCTGTAGTAAAGATGAAGGCATGGTATGATGCAGCCATGGCGAAGGAGGCTGCTCGCAGAGAAGAAGAAGAGAAACTAAGAAAGGCGAAGGAAGAAGAAGAACGACGACTTTTGGAGAAGAAGGAGAGGGAGGCTCTTAATAAAGAATTACATGATGCTATGAATGCTCGTTTGGATGGTTTGTACGAAGCGGTGCGGGGTCAAAAACCCGGTGGTAATCCGGGTGAACCCACGATGGAGAAACTACTGAAGGAGATCGAGAAGTTACAGCTTGCCTAGAACACTGCGGTCAAGAACGATTTGGCGTCGAGCAGTCGACCTCCAGTCAGAGATGATGCCTTGCTGGCAAGGATCATGCAGGAGCACGAGGACATGAAGTCGAAGATTGAATCAGCAGCGGCTGCCAACAAGCGAGCAGAGGCTTTGGAGGAAATGCTTCGAACCGTCAAGCAGCAGCACAAACAAGCGATGCAGGAAGTTGAGAACTGGAAGAGGGAGGCGCTGCGTACCATTAATAAGCGAAGCCGCCTGGCATCGTCCCCCTCCTCGCAGCTTAAGATGTCGTCCGCTACACCTCTGAAGTCGTCAGTAGACAGACCTCGTGTCGACACTACCCAACTGGCGCAGCTACACTTGGAAGTCAATGCTCTGAAGGAACTTAGACTGTAGGAGTTGAACCGAAGACGGGAAGCGGAACAAGAGAACGCCAAGCTTAAGGAGGAGCTTGCCAAACGGGTCGCAGAGATGGCGCCAAAGTCAGTGTTTCATCAACGATTAGATGCCGCTGGAGGATCTGCTGTGAGGACCGGACGTGGAAAATCGAGAGCTGATCAAGGCGAAGAAAACGAACGGGAAATCTTCATTCGTGAAGCGAAAAAAGAACTGGGGAATAAGAAGAAGGATGATTTAATCGGAATCTGCATGAAGGAAGGCATCAAATACAGTACGATACCCAAGACGATTAACGAGATCATTGAGAAGCGTGTAGAAAGAGCGTTTGGGAAGAAGCCAGCTGTTCAAGAAGTTTCCGATGACGTATGTGAGAATGACGGTAAGGACGATGGAAGGGACTCCGTTGATTCTTAGGGTCCCTCCCGAACGCGGCACGTCTATGGTTGTTAGCTAATGCTTGTTCTAACTTTCGCTCTTCCTCGCTGGACCATCTGTGAAATAGGAGAGCAGATGCGTTGTTTCGTGTGGTCGTTGCTCTGATTCTGTGTGGTTTAATTCCATGGGCTTCTAAACTTTCGTCTTGTGTTCTGAAGTGGTTGATGGACGGAGAAGTAGTGCGCGGTCTATGTACTGGTCTCCCCTTGGCACCGTCACTTATATGTAGGATGTACCTCTCGAGATCTGGGTATTCGGTGGGCGGAACATGTATATCGGACATGTAGTAGTACGTTGGCCGAGAAAGGACGGAGGAACGAACGGCTCTACTGTTGGTTGCGAAGATGCGGAGCCGAGAAGTATGTAGCTATACCCATCTGTAGTTGCACTTCTGATGATCTTGCTGATACTGAACGTTTTTACATTCATTTCTTCTTCGCTGCATTGAATTCTAAGGATAAACCCAGAAAAAGTAAGAAACGGAGACCGGGTAAGAGGGAGATGTTGCGGAGGAAGAGGAAGTCGGGATTGGCGTTGGTCCGGGTGACTCGTTCTTCTGTCATCGTTTTTCACTCCTCATGTGGTGTGGTGTCGTCCGGTCTCATCCGAATTCTTAATCACTGTCGGGATCGGTTGATTAATCAAGTGGTGGTCGTCTGTCATGAAGGTCGGTTATTGTTGGACAATTGGAAGGTCTTAAAGCGATGCTACGGGTCGTTTATCATCTCATTCAATGGGGACAGGGATCAGTTGAGAAGCTCACGTGGATGGCTGGTCGGTGGAGCTACCATTGTGTTTGAATCTATCGTTCCGTTCTGTAAAAAATCTTTGATGCTCAAACCCTTGTCTTATTCAGTTACGCAGTCATCCATTCTCACAGCGGCAGTTGATCACATGGGAATTTCGGGAATTAATCTATGCTTTCTCGGTTGTTCGGTGTTTTCAAGAGAAGCGGACACGTGGTAGGCTACGTACTTTACTGTCTAATGTGATTTTCCGTAAGTTTGGCATTCACGTTCGTCAGCGGTTGGTAGTTCGGGTGATCTATGATGATCGCTACAGCAAGTCAGCCATTCGGAAAGTCTGTGCGTACCTAATTAATCAACTTGATATTGCACCTGCATGGAAAGATATGATAGTAAGGCGTATGCGCGTGGCGTGGTGTAAAAATCTGTCGGTTGGTGATGTGATCCATAATTTCAAGACCGTGGCCAGGAGTGGCGATTTTAGGTGCAGTTGTTATAGTGTCGATCCATCCTTTCCTCGTGTTGATGGGCACGTGTCCTTTCGGATAAGTCAGATGGATTTCTTTCCCAGTTGTATGAGGAACTCTAAGAACATGCTTCGACCGGCAGCGGGAGATCCCATCTCATTAGTCAAACAGCAGATTCTTCGATCTTTTCAGTCCATTGACTGTCTTCCTGCGCTCAATCTATCACGGCATGATGACAGTGTATTCCATACTTGTCTCCTTCCTGGCACTTGTGACGAGCCTTTCGACACTCAATCTACACCGTTCTCTGTCCATGAGTTTGAGCAACAGTTATCCTTGCTCGGTGGGTTGGTTCGATCCCCTCTTGACCACAACCTCGGTGACACCTTCATCTTTTGTCCTGTCGTGTATGGCGATGGAATGCGTAAACTTTTTTCCGATAACTTATCCTACGTTCCTATGTCGGAATCTGAGGTCGATGTGTTAAAAAGATGCAGAATTCAGTATGACAGTATGAAATTCAATGAGTTGGGTAGATGGAACAAGAATGGTAGAATTGGGAATGCTTATTGCTTACCAAAACATAAAGATGTGAGTCGGTGGCGTCCTATCTGCCCTTCCCATTCCGACGGTTCGGTCGTAAGTGGTAGACGAGTTGCAAGAGCAGTGAACTTCCTGCTGTGGAGAGTACCTGAGGCCATGCACTTCAACATGAAATGCACTGTTGATGTTATGAAACGGATCGAGGGTATTAACGTGAAGCTCAAACATAACGAGTCGTTAGTCGGTGGGTCATTCGACATCAAAGAAATGTTTTCAAATTTACCTCATCGTTCTATCCTTCTTGCACTGCGGTGGATTTTAGATTATTGGACAATTGAGGGGTTCTCTGTGGTTCTGGTTCGTACGCACGGTAAAGCAGTTAGGCTGACGAAGGGGAAGGGTGAGGCTGGATGGGTGCGGATTAAATTCTCTCAGATTGTGGCTTTCATTATGTACGAGCTAGATAATACTTACGTCTTGGTTTGTGGACAATTGGTCTGACAAACGGTCGGCATACCTATGGGCAAGACATCGAGCCCCGCGCTGGCATGCTTACTCTGTGCATTTGATGAATTCAACTTTTTGTCATCTTTGAAGAAGCAAAGGTCGTTGGTACATGGTTGTAAAATTGTTGACGATGTTTCAATTTGTGTGAAGTATCGTATCTCTGATGAGTCGTCGAAGGAGGCTGCTGATCGAGTTTTGGAGAAGTTTCGTGCTTGTTATGATAAGGCATTAGTTCTGGAACAGACCAACGTTTCGCATGAATGGGACTTCATCGGCTACGGGTAGAATCCAGATGGGAAAGGTCAACTTCCCTCTGATCTTTCAAAGCATTCAAGATTATCGATCTTTCTCCTGTAGACGGCAGAAGCTTGCTGTGATTGGATCCTTTCTTCATCGTGCTAGAACATTTACCTCCATTCCCAGTTTGGAACTACCCTTCCTCTTTATGTTGAAGCATGAACTCTGGATGCGAAGTTATCCCGACAACTATTTTGACCGGGCTTTGATTAACTTTTCACGAAAGTTTGCTGATTGTTGGAAGCATTGGATCCCCATTCTCACTAATTGGGGACGTTTTGCTCGGTGAGTAGTTGAATGTTGTGGTGGAAGATTGTGAATCGATTGTCTGTAGCAACTTAGATCCTGAGCTAATTTGCATAGGATCTTCGTCCTTACAGAACGAGTTAACCTGTGGGTGTCAGTCCTGAGGTTGGGTGGAATTTTTGGTATGATCTGCGGGTATCAGTCTAATGTGTTGGTGGTAAGACCCAGGGTTTCAGTCCCAGGGACCTTTATCGGATATGGGATAGTATTCCCAAATCGATACGTGTTGTTTGAAGTTGTTTTCAGTCCCTGTGGTGGCGGTTTCAGTCCCTCTGGTTTCAGTCCTGGGGACCTTCGGCTTGTTACCGGGCAGCAATCCCGGATTCAGTAGCGGCCTATTTGTTGATCAAAGATTCGAAGCTCATTTATGCAGAGCTTGACTTTGATGGTTGGATGTTCGAATCTTTGAGTGCGTAGAATCTGCCGAGTACCGGGCGCCAGTCCCGGAGTCAGTGGTTCTGTTTTTTGTGGTCAGCGTCTTGACTTGAGTACGTTTTGAAAGAGGCGAGGAATGTTCTAGTTGTTATGTCACCTCGACAATTCCTATAGAACACAGGATATAAATAGGACGTCTACTAAGTAGCTAGACACCTCCTCACCGACCAAGACCCCTGACGAGCGCCGGTGGCGGCCGACCGAAACTAGTCGGGTCATACCGCCTGTACTGCATTGTTTGACTTTTCGAAAGTCGCGTTCGGGAGACTGTTTTTATCCTGGTGTTTTCCCTCCTATCTCTTGTCTTCTACTCAGCTGTCTGGCGTGGTCTCACTTTCTGTCTCTTCCCTATCTCTCGCCTTCAACCCTCTGACAACAATATTGGAGTGATATTCACGATTGACGTTTGCTTGCGCTTTTGCTGAAGTCATTATGCTGGATGTACTATTCACACTGATCGTAGAGGAGTCAGGGCCCCACAAGAGAGGCAGACATCCAGTAGCGGGCAGGGGGAGGAAAGGGGTTTAGGGTTTTAGAGGAGAAAACCCAAACTAGTTTCCAGGACGAGTAAGTAGCCTCGGGTTGGCTTTCATTACCTTTTTCCCTTTTAGCTGAGCTCCCGAGGGGACCGGCATCAAAAATTAGGCGGATAATTAGCCAGGGGATATAACGAATCTATTCTGCTCCATGTTGCTTGCTATAGAGGTAAAACTGTTTCATTGCTGGAATGGGTCATCTCAAGTGTGCTTCATTGTCTGCAGTAGAGTTAAATCTGCACCAATTTTGGATCTACTCATCTGGGTGGAACAGTTGCTGTTGTGGTGAAAATCTACAACACACACAACTTGAGTTTTTGGGCACTTGCATGGACCATAAGCGATGAGGCAAGCCAGACAGGAGCAGCAGTTGATCGTTCAGAATCCAGCGTGAGTGAAAGGATGAGCAGTTTGCTAGTTCCAACTCATCTACCTGCATAGTGGAAGAACTCCCATAACTTGAATTTGATCAAAAGCAGGTGTGGAGTTCAATCCCGCTGGAGCATAACACTGGGCTAGTATTTCATTCCTAGTGTTAGCACTATCATATACCCCCAGACAGAACTCGCTAGGCATCATTACAGTAGCGAATGTAGATTTTGGGCTGACTACAGCGATCATGCCAAGTCGTTTTATTCAGAGGGAACTTAGGGAAGATAGTAACAGTGCCATTCTCAGAGGTAGAATTATCCATCCGCCACGGTATGTGACACCGACGGTGCTACCAATGCGTAGGATTCAAAATGACCAGGATTTTCATTGCGTTGTGCACTTGTTTTGTTTGTTTTGGAATGATTCCAAACTCATACAGGTTTTTCAAAAGAAGCGAGCTCGACCTGGACGAGCGACAGCAGTCAAGTCTGCAGAGTCAGGCAGGGCAGGAAAAGTGCAGAAAGAGGTAGACGTGGAGTGGACCCGGGTGTACACGCTAGTTTCCAATCAGTAAGTTGGTTATCCCTATACTATGAGAGTTCTTCTAGGCTCTAGCAGCAAAATTTGAAATTTCCTCTTTTTTCTTAAATTGGTGCCACTTTCAACAGCCTGCAACCCCCAAGGCCATATACAAGGAGGGTACATGTACCTGTAGTAAATGGCTAGCTGTTGTGGTACATGAGTGAATGCGGAGGCTCAGCATCGGACAATCCTGGGAGATATCACAGTGCTGCTTTTCTTAAGGACATTTCTGCGGAGGCTCAGTAACAGACTTTGAAGCAGGGCTGGGCCGGCAACCGGCTGGTTGAGCTTGCCCAGTCCAACCGATGCCGGACCAGCCCCAGGGGGGTGTCCAGGGAACCGGTTTTACAAAAAATGGCAAAATGGCAAAATGCCCATTTCTTTTTATTTTTTTCTTGTCCCAGCAGATTTCAACTGTGCTTGTCGAGATATGGCTTTTGGGCGACGGGGCCAAGTAAACAAGTTCGCTCATCCGACTCCCGCGTGCAAGGAATATGAGTGAGAACCTAGGCTGGGCCGGCGCCCGGCCGGGCGGGCCCCCGTCGGTTGGGCCCGGGGGGGTCCGCCCGGCTGAA